TTAATTGTCAATTTGTTCAATTCTCGGTAGTCAATACACATCCGCATAGACCCATCTTTCTTTTTAACAAAGGACCGGAGCACCCCAGGGTGAAATGCTAGGTCTAATAAATCCTTTGTCAAGAAGATATTTTAGTTGAGAAACTAATTCTTTTAGTTCTGATGGAGCTAACCGATATGGTGCTCTAGCCATTGGCACTGCCCCGGGTACAAGATCAATCTTGAATTCAATACTTCTGTCTGGTGGTAGGCCAGATAAGTCTTTTGGAAAGACTTCTGGATATTCACTAAAATTGGATACAACTCTTGCTCCCCTTTTTCTTTCTTTGCATTAATTACATAGGCTAAATACCCTTGACATTTCTTCTGTATACACTTTCGGGTTTTCAAAACAGATAGAAGACTGATATGATGATCCTCTCGATCACCATAAATAACGATCCTCTACCTTGTAAGGTAATTCTGATCATCTTTATATTACACATAATAGTTGCCTGATTTTTTTCTAACCAATTCATTCCCACTACTACATCAAATTCTTTCATCGGCATTGGAAATAATTGGATTGGTAAATCACACCCCTCAATATTAATGGTACAATTATTGAACACATAAGCAACAAATTCTTGACTATTAGAAGTATCAACTACTAATATATTTTCAAGTGACACAAAAGTCATGCATGCAAATTCAACAAATGAAGGTGATACAAATGAAAAGTTCGCACCCGAATCAAACCACACCTTAGCATATATGGAATTGACGAGAAATGTACTTGTTACTACATCAGGTGTAGTCTCGGCCTCATTCTTTGTCATCTAAAATGATCGACACCGCGTCCCTCCTCGCCTTATATTCGGTCTTCCACGAGCTCTTGAGGTATTACTACCCATAGTCAACTGTGGAATCTTTAATTGTGGGCAGTTGGGTCGAAGATGATCAGGTGAATTGCAGTTGAAACATCTTTTTGAAATTGGGCAGTTCCTTGACAAGTGACCTGCCTCACCACACTGATAACATTTCCTCAGGTCTGTTTTAAAGTCTCCTTGATGAACCTGATGACACCGGGGACAAGCTTTTTCAGTAAATCTTTGGACTGGTCTATTGTCAAATCTCACAATATTCGGCCCTCGGTAACCTGTTGAAAGTCCTTCCCATTTCCTCTTTTCGGTAACTTTTCCCTCTTCCTGCCTATTTTTATTTCTTTTAGTAACTTCTGCCGCATCCATAGTCAAAGAAAACGTAGCAGAATTCATGGCAATCACAAATTCCTGAATAGACGACTTTAAACCCCAAATATATCTTTCTAGTTTTCTAGATTCGGATGAGATATAGTGCTCAGCAAATCGAGAATATTCAATGAATTTCTCGGTGTATTCTCTTACTGTTCCATTGTCCTATTCTAATTTCAAGAAATCTTCCTACATTTGTTTTACAGCTGCCTTTGGACAAAACTGCTCTTTAAATCTGTTCACAAATTTTGCCCAAGATAACGTTTGCAAAATATCTGCTTTGGCCAAAGATTCGACTTTCCACCAGAATAGTGCATTAGACTTTAATACAGAAACAAAAAATCTGACTTTATCTGCCTCTGGGCATCTAATAGTGTTGAATACAGGCTCAATTTCTTTAATCCAACATATTGCCTTAACTGGATCTCTTTCTCCGGAAAAAGTTGGGGGTTTACATGTTAGAAATATTTTAATATTTCCCCCATTGTTGTTTATAACTGGAACAGATGGATTTATCTCAACTCTATCTGTTTCAACCCTGGCGGATATCCCCATAATAGAAGTCAGAGTTTCCCTTAGTTTACTCATCTCCTTAGCTAACATAACTCTGTTTACATATTATGGATGGGGCATCTGTTCTTGATTAACATTTTCAAATTTAGATTCTCCATGATCAAGATGAGTCTCAGATTGACTTGGTCTGCCTCTGCCTTGACTTCTTACTCGCCCTCTGTCTCTATTCYTTTCTCTGCGTCTACCCTCTTAAGTATTGATAGGAGCATTAACAGGAGAATCCTATGTATCATTAGGATTGGGACGAGTGATCCTTTCAGACCTTCAAGATCGGCTAGTCATCTGTAAATTTCAATATTAATAATCACATATTCATATTCCCAAATATAATGAAGTGTCCAAGTTCAGATATGTACCTGTAAATTCATAATTACATTGGCCAGATGTAATTTGAATCTACCTTACACACTATTCTCTTAACCCATCATATTTATTTCCAATGGTATTAACTATGTCTGGGACCCCTAACATGCAATGAAATAGTTTAAGTCTAGGCATCATGCTTATGAATACCTAAATCCCTTAAACTCAGGCTCTGATACACTTTTGTAACACCCCATATCACACATTGCATATAACACATACTTCACTCAAGGAAAATACATGTATTACTCCACTTAGGTCTCATAGTACAAGAAATCAATGTGTAAAGTACACAATCCAAAAATTCCAAAATACATGTTCTTGTACTACATAACATATATCTTCAAAACTAAATACTTCCATAAGTTGATCTTCATATAGTTATGCACATAGGAAAATAATAACATTTTCCCATTTCCCTTACTATCATGTAAACTAGTTGTTCCTGCAATACATATAAAACAGCAGGGCCAGAGCCCTTCTGGTTCCATTGACCAGAGCTTCTGGTCCTACCAACCAGAGCTCTTCTTCCTAAACTCAAGTTTATCCTTATTTCTATATAAGGATGTTTCTCTAGTTCGACGACTAGAGCAAAGTCATGTACATAGAAATGATACACATAATTTTCTAGTATAAAGAAAAGTATAATTTGAAAACTTCTATATGACCAGAACCTCTGGTCCTACTAACCAGAACCTTTGGTTCAAATGCCAAGACCAACCAGAGCTCCTCTGGTTTAATTGTAAAGACCAACCAGAGCTCCTTAGGTTTGTCTTGCTTTGCCAAAGTCATTTCATGTAAATATTTCTAAGTTTAAATAAGAGAAAGAAGTATTATAAACAATTTGAAATACAACTTTTATGACACAGAGCCTCTATACAATACATACAGAGCCTCTAGTCCATATAGGGGTTTGAAAGTAAAGATTTTTATCATAGTCAGAGATCTTTTGATTGTCCCTAAAGAACAACAAAAAATTGCTTTAACAAACTGTAGAACAACCAGAGCCCTTCTAGTTCTATTCAAGGAACAACCAGAGCTCATCTGGTTCCTTTCAAGGAACATCTAGAGCCTCTCTAGTTCCTTATAACTATTTTCCAAACACTTTTATTCAAAAGCACAATTATGCAAAAACTCTAGCCATAAGCCAATTTTCCCCTTCTCAATAACATCATTACTATCATTTCCGATAAGAGCAATATTCCTGAATTTTCAAATGACAAAGAAATAAGGACTCAGAACCATTGCAATATTAAGGGATATAACAGTAAGAGCTATAATAATAATCACACTTACAAATGCCACCCTTATATCCAAAAGTACACCTCTACTTGATATGCCACCCTTATATTCGAAGGTACACCTCTCCTTGATATGCCACCCTTATCCCATGGTACACCTCTCCTTGATATGCCACCTTATGCCATGGTACACCTCTCTTTGATATGCCACTCTTATATATCCATCAAAATCTACATATTGTTTCCAATCAGAACAGACCGAAGTCACAACCATCCTGAAGGAACATCATCTATAGTTTTAGCCTATACGAGTTTCAAAACAGTTTAATATCAAAACTTTGAAACTCAAGAACCAGTAGATCTTGAATACATTTTCCAAACTCAAAACTCTTTATTCCTTAAAATAGGTTTTCATCTCAACTGTTTTGAAAGAAGTAGATACTTCTTTATTTTACAAAACAGTTTCAATACCCAGATTCATAAAGCTCAAATCAGTTGTTCGAAACAGTTTCCTTTCTTCATCAAAATCATCTATCGAAATCCATATATTTAAAATATCAACATATAAGAATTTTAATAACAAAACTCACCTTATGCACAAATTTGAAGATAGTTCACACGGAAAAGCTTCAAATAATCAACATAGAATCTTCTCTAAATATCTTCACACGACAACTTTCCCTCAAGAACACCTACACACCACTACTGCCTCTTTTTGTTTTTAAGAAGATAAGTAAGATAAGATTGATCTTATCCCACTTATATATATATATATATATATATATATTATTGAGGCGGTATAAAGTTTATATTATAAAACTCACAAAGGCGGTGGAGGTTTAAGATTTTAAACCTCTCCTCCTCTTCTCCCAAGAATCCACGTCATATATATATATACATATGTATATATATATGTATATATATATGTAGGATTGGGTTCACCTAAGACCAATTTATTTTCATGAGACCAGTGAGACCATTAAATAACATTTGAAACTTCATAGCAAAATATTGTGAAGAAAAAAAAAATTCAAACCCTTCATAGCAAAAAAACAATGTAAAGGTTACCTTCACAGTGTTTCACATTGTTTTGTTTTGTTGTGAAGGTTTAGTGTTATTTAGGTGGTGTCATGGGTCTCACGAAAACAACATGATCTCACACTATCCCATATATATATATATATATATGCATGTATATGCAACTTTTTGTCACCTGCCCATCGTGTACCTATAAGTGTGAGATTTGAATCGGAGACCTGTACGCTATTTTAAACAAACACCAACTCCTAAGCAAACTTATTAGGAACTTACTACACAAAATGGTGGTTTCAAGATCATATTCTTTAACTTGATTTACCACAATTCCTTTCATCTGTCCCTGCAGGTATCATTACAAATAATGTATGATAATCGCATTTGCTCTACATGATTATGTTAACTTTGATATTATTATTTTTGTTGGGTGTTCAAGACATTCACATACTTAAATCAAATGTTGCAACTCTTATACGAATGAAATGAGTAACATATCGACTTTCAAAACACAAGCTTAAGCAACAGTTCAAAACAATCTTGTTATGTTTTTGATGTAGGTCGTGATGCTATTAAGAGACGATTATGATCCCAAGGGCTCAACGCCGCAACAGAAAAAACGAGCATTTCAAAGAACATACTCAGAAGAGCTCATGGACGCTCAAGAGTACAATTTAACCAAGCATCTCAACACCGTGACTCGAATAGAAGGCGTACGAGAGAAAAACACATAATCTTTGCCAACTTTGTTGTGATTATGGATACTCGTTCTTTTATTGAATTTAAGTTTGGCATATCGAGTATGGATGATCAAGAACAGGTATGCATCAAGGCATTTGCCCTGATAAGGGATCCTACGCTTGTTTTCCGGGTTAGAAAACACAAATCATGTCAAATACATAGTAACGTATTACTAATGTACCAGTCATTGTAGCATTAACGTTCGAAAACTAATTCTTTATGTTGTATACAACACTCTTTGTCTACTTTTTTGTACTGAATTGCAAGAGATAATGTTACTTGGTCAAATCACATATTTAGCCCCTGTTCTTTATATCTATTTCAGAATTTACTCCCTACCTCTCAATTGTTGCATTACCTCACTATTTGATAAATATGTATTTTGATGGATGGAACAGTGACAAAGGATTGTGTGAGAATATGAGTTAAAATTAGAATAATAAGAACCGATCTGAACCTTTGATTATTTTTAATCTCACCTCCATCTTATGAATTGCTCTTGATACAAGAACTGGTCTGGTGCATCTAATTAGTGTTGATTTCAATTAGAACTGAACCAAGAGTAAGGAAAGATAATGTATTAACTTATTGTATAATCTACAAATATCTTTCGTGTTTATACTGTTTTGAGTTATTAAATTCATATATTAATCTTTACTCCTTTATGATGCAACAGTTTTGGTTACTTTTCTTGAAATTTAAGAGGTAATGTTTATTATGCTTAATCACTACAAGGAAAATGAATTTTAGAGATGGAAGTTCTAGAGAAGGATTTGGATGTGTATCTAAAGGTGTTGTTTAGGGAAGGAAATACATGAAAAAAGTGAAAAATGTACCCGAAGATAAGACGACTTTCAAAGAATGATTTCAAACCTAATAATATGCTATGTATATCGGTCCTAAAGCTTTTAGAGACGCTTTTTATATAAAACGTCACTAAAAATCGACTCAAAAGCTCTAGAAACACTTTCTACATTGTCGCTAAAGAAGAAAGTATTTTTATTTTTATTTTAAAAATTAAACGAAAGGTTTTAGTTACTTTTTTATAATTCTCGAAAAAATATCTAAAGCTTTTCTATTTTTAATAAATCAAATATATATAGTAGAAATATTATTGAAAATCAAACGGAGAGTCCTATACGGAGAGGAGCTACGAGAGTCCTATATGATTTCTCTTCGTTTTTTTCAACAATCGGGCTGATGTCTTTGTGATTTCTCTTTGCTTTATCTTTGATTTCGATCTTCTATTCGTTTTTTGATCGAGTTTGACTTCAATTTGACTCATATGTTTGATTTAGGGCTTGAAGATTCATCAAGTTACGGTAGGCGACTTCATTTTAGGGCTTGTGGATTCATATGGTAGGCAACTTCGGTTTAGGGCTTGTGGATTCATCAAGTTACGGTAGGCGACTTCAGTTTAGGGCTTGAGGATTCATCGTAAGCGACTTTGAGTTTGTCTTCGTATCTTCATTTTCATTTCTACTACTTGGTTTGCCTTGTTATGTTTATAATGTAAAATTGGGTTTGCTTTGGTTACATGATTAACTGATTTGTATTCGGTGGCTCTGGTTTATTACAATTGATCATCAAACAATCTTATTCTAGGAAATTTCCTTCTATTAATGAATTAGGATTTTTGATAATGTTCATCATTTAATTTCCTTCCTTTTGTACTTTAAAGCAGATTCAACAGATACGATTTAGTATAATATATGATTATATGTACTTATTTGATCTTTTAGATACCATTTTTGGTTAAATATAACATGTAACTATATATACATACATGACTCTTGTTGATCCTCTCTCTCAGTGAYTTGATGATAATCCCTTTTCACTTATACGTTGTATTTATGTTTCTGTCTTTTCAGTTCCAGCGATCATCACTGAGCTTGTTCAGTGATCGCTGAAGAACTTGTATTGTAAATCAATCAGAGACATCGATACTTCAAGAAGACAAAACTCACACCAAAGAACCTTCATCAAATGTCGAAGACTGAAACTGAAGATTAGAGACTGGCAAGTACGTGATCTGAAGCGGTAATCAGTGATTACAAGCCTGTCTACAAATGTGTGAAGACTGCTCAAGCCTCAGCGAATGCTGAAGAGACCTTCAGGTCATTCCAGCATTCAGCGATCAAAGGAAGCTTGCTTAACACGACTGTTGTTGTCTTGTCCTCTTTCACACAAAGGACAAACCCATACCCTTATAAAAGTTGGTACGGTACGGAGCCGACTAGTTGACTCTATTGTCCACCAACTTTAGATAAGAATGTCTGCTCATGAATAGTGCTTTTTGTACTATTCATTATAGCAAAGGACAAGCCTTCCTCTTAAGGCTTGACACACACTCTAACCTTACCATATTGCATTAAATAAACATTTAATGCACCGAGTATAAATAGAAGTGTTCCTTCTCCCTAAAGAGTTTGCGCAACTCACTCTCTAAACCTAATTATTACTTTAAGAATATTTTAGCTTAAGTAAAGGATCTTCTCTTTACAACATTTCTTTCTTGTTTGCTAAGAACTCGTGTGTAACCAAAGATTGTTTAGATAGGTTTTTATTACCTTATCTTTCCGCAAACAATCTTGTAAAGTCTGTATTGATCTTCTTTGTCAATATATATTTTAAATTTGAAAATATTGTGTTTGTATTCATCCCCCTCCCTTCTACAAACTGTTTTACTATTCTTGTAGGCCCTCAATGGACCAACAAGTGGTATCAGAATGGTGTTTTCTTCTCTCTTTCTGTTTAGCTGTTTTTTGTATTAGTTGATCTTTTTTCTTAGATAACTTTACTGCCTACAAATGGCTTTACAAATTACAAACAGACACACACAAGACAATGGCTCTCTTGCCAAACCTCCCCAGTTTGTCCGTGACAGTTTTAGTCTCTGGAAGAACCGGATGTCCCTCTTTCTTGAAGGTGTGGATCCTGAAATTCCACATTACATAGAAAATGGACCATATATTCCATTTGCTATTGCTCCGACTATTCCAGCAACAACTACGACTGCTGCGATTCCTAAACGGCATATTCCAAAGCTTCCACATCAATGGAACGATGAAGACAAGAAGAAAATAGCTATAGACACGCGTGCTCGGTCTATAATAGCTATGTCTCTTCCAGATGAGATTTATCACTCAGTGATGAAACTCAAATCCTCTAAATCCATGTGGGACACACTTTGTGTCAAATATGAAGGAACCACTCAGATTCAAGAGACCAGAAAGATCAATTTAGTAAGATAGTATGAAAGCTTTCTCTGTGGAAAGTCTGAGACGCTGTCTGGAGTACATCAAAGATTTAACTGCCTTCTTATTGATCTTGGGGCTGTCGGTAGGGAATATTCCAATTCTGAAACTTTAACTAAGTTTCTGGAATGTCTTCCTGGGTCTTGGGACACCTTTTCCATGTGTCTCAAGATGTCCAATGACATGTCCACTCTTTCTCTTTCTACTTTATACGGGATTCTGCTTAGCCATGAGCAATCTTGTCAACTGAAGAGAAATCTTGTAAAAGATTCCAGGGAAATGAAAAGCTCTCCTTTGTCTTTGATCTCTGAAGCATCGTTAGTTGAAACTTCTTCTACTCCTTTTGTCTATTCTCTTCCTCCTGTCGTTATCACAGAGATAGACTCTTCTATCTCTGAGGATATTCCAGAATATGATTTAACAGATTTTGATGAGTCCCTGGCACTCCTGATTAAGTCATTCAAGAGGTTCGCCAGTAAGAGCAACTTTCACAGATCTCCTCAGCTGTCCCTTAGGGAAAAGCCAAAGTCTGAAAGAATAGACAAGGCTTCAGCTGTCTGTTATAATTGTCACTGGCCCTGACACTTTGCAGGTGAATGCAAATCAAAGAAGATTGCGACACCATCCTCCAAAGGTCCTTCCTCCTTCAGGACTAAAGATGAAAAATACTCAAAACTGAAGGAGAAGTACAGGAAGATGAAGAACAACCAGCGTAAGGCTAAAGGCCTTGTTGCTGAAGAGCATGACTGGGCTGAGTTATTCGATGAATCATCCTCAGATGAAGAGGATACAGCCTATATCTGCTTGATGGCCATAGATACAGATGAAGGATCTTCAGAAGTATCTACTTCCTCTGATTCATCTTCTTCTTCGATTTCTCAGGTATGTTCTCGAAATGAACCCTCTTCTTCTTCAAGTCTTTCTGCACTGGATACGCTGACGGTTGACCTTTACAACACCCTCAATGGCAAATCGAAAGTAGAAATGCTTAACGTTGATCTTCAAGAGCAATTGAAGATTTGCCATTCAAAGATCAAAGAACTGACCTCAGTCGAGGAAAATCTTAAAGATCAGGTTATTGTAAACCAAGCCATCACTGTTGAACGTGAGAAGGCTATCGCTGAGCGTGAGCGAGCAATCGCTGAACTCAAGGCCAAGAAAGCTACCATTGAAGGGTGGTACAAAGCTTCCATCAAGGCATCTGAGATCATTCGCTCAGATCCCCGCCAAGGTAACGACTGGTCTAGGATTCTCCTAGGGTCAGGAAGAATGTGTTATAGACAGGTCCATGCTTAAGTTTGGCACCTTCTTCTCTTCTATTCCCAACACTTCTTCCTCTCAGTCTTCTTCTTTTACTGAGAGTCATCTTGAAGGAACTCCTTCGAGTTCTGGGTGCAAAGACAAAGGTAAATTCGTCGTCATGGCATCCCTTCCCAAGAAGTCTAACAAGTCTAATAGATCAAGGTCTATTCCTTCAGCTTGTAAAGCTTCTTCCTCTTCAGGGACTAGGAAATCTGAATCCCATCAGAAATCCAAGTCACAGCTCAAAGTGAAATTTTCACCTAAGGAATCCAATTCCTCAAAGGTTCCTCCTAGAAACAATGAGAAGGGAATCCCTGGAGCTGGTCCCGCTTCTAGTCTGATACTTCCTGGCCCTAAAGCTACTCTCAGCTTTAGGAAGTGTAAACACTGTGGTGAGAAAACACATATTGCCAGCAAGTGTCCTTCTGCCGCCA